TACCAATTATCTGACGAGCTTAAAGTATGTGTCAATCCTGTCCCCAGTGTCTCGCAGCTAAACTGCTTTATATAATAGACCAATATCACTAACTATGGCATAGCCGTCTTGCTTTCCGTCAATGTCAGTGCTTATAAGGGCGACATCCCTCGTAACCATGTTCTTGTCCGTATTTTGTCTATTACAGGAATGTTGCAATTAATCTTCCTACAGGATATTCTCAAGAGGTATCGTTTTGATTTGCCAGCGGGCATTGAGCATGATTATGCCAACTGGGAGAAGATATCAACGTTTGTCGGTTATTCACTAACTCAAACCCGCGCCAGAGTGAAGAAATTGGTATGTGTATTAATATTATTCCTCTTTTCAATGGAGCAATGGAGCGCTTACGCTTTATTGTTATACAGATTAAAGACAGTATAAAGGCAAATACCAATATATTTTCGCTTGCGCAGATGATTGTTCACTCCACGCCTTGTCGCACGACGATCCAGCTGTGCTCCCGTGTTGCGCTCATGGTAAGTGTCTTCTTGTCCTTTGTCCATAATATTGCCTTCTGAACTGGAGCAATTTTAGCGTGCGGTTCACGCCGAATGCAATGGTGGCGAAAAACGCATGCACGCCTTGAATTTATCCGAACAAGAGCAGGATCCTCGGCCTCTAAAACAGCGAGGTGGGCTACCATCCCTTCATTCTTCTTCATTGATAATTAGCTGACATTCTATGCAGGGCATTCAATGAAATCCTGAAGATTGATCGAGCTACATACGGTGCGGCGGAAGAATATGTGATTGGGGATACTGTTCCCGATGAGTGGCAGCAGCGCGTTGATGATGTCGTTGCGGGGATAGATATAGTGTGATAATAACAGGGCATCGATGCGACTTCTTTTGATAAATGCACATTTTGTATGGGCCATTTTTCATGCCGGTCCCAACCTGAGAAACACTGCTCTAATAACCTAACTGACCTTGCTTAAGACAGGTGCCGAGGGCTTGAAATGTTGTAGGATTTTTGTGTTTAACAAATTGTTGAACCCCTCTGCAATAATAACTGACGGTGATTCAGGAGAGTCAGTCCTTGCTGGGTTGAATGATTAGCTACCGCCTTGTGAGTCGGCATGGCTGAAGTGCAATTTGTAACTGCAAACAATGGGCTGGAAATTGTAGCGAATGTTCGCCTTTACAGTGCATCGCACACGCCCCGGTACCAATCTGGACAACACATTCATACGGGCCAGTAGCTGAGCTGTTGAAACATATCACAAAAGCACAGTTGAGCAGACCTGAGACACAATTATAATAATGTAGATGATTTCATTTACGACGGGTAATTGAGGGCGGGAAATTGAAGCGAACGTTCGCCTTTACTGTATGTCGGATGGGGCCCAGTACCAATCTGGACAACACATTCATACGGGCCAGTAGCTGAGCTGTTGAAACATATCGCAAAAGCACAGTTGAGCGGACCTGAGACATGATTCTAATAATGTAAACGATTTCATTTACGACGGGTAATTGAGGGGGGGAAATTGGAGTGAATGTTCGCTTTTACTTTGGATCACACGGCGCCAACTACAAATGCGAACGACGCGTTCATACAGGCAAGGAGTTGATCTATCGAAAAGTATCGCAAAAACACATCAAAAAACATGCCGGTAGAGTAAACAATTTCATGGTATGAGACCAAATTAGATGGTGGTAGAAACAAGCCGAGGAAGATGGACAGCACATTGTTACAGGCAACCGTCTAAGCTACCAAAATTCATGAACGGCTTATCAGATTACAAGTGCTACCCACATTAAATGTAGTCACGGTGTCCAAATCCCAGAGTCAAACTGTCCACAATATTCCGCCCACGTCGACGCAACATTCCAAAAATACCTCAACTCCGTGAGAATTTCACGCTGCTAACGCGTTTCGCGGAAATGGCGGTGTAGTCAACAACTTGAATAAAGAGGCAAACCAAATATGGCTTGCCGCGACGGTCAAACCGGACCGGGGTACACACTGAACGAAACCAAAGCACCCATGCCATGTAATAATTCTGAGGACAACGGGGAATAAACGGAAGTAAAAGAATATTACTACAGCTCACGAGAGGGAATAAATCTGCTTGCAACATGTAGCCATTTTTCCTGCAACTGGAACGTGCCAGCATGAACATCACAATCGCCTCCTCTGGAAAGCGACGTAGCATCAGTCCCGAACGAAGCCTAGACGCCAACTTCCTAAGAGATAATCAAGAGGGAAAAGGAGTTTTATTTTATTTTATACAGATCCTTTCAGTTCCGATTCAATACATACTGTCCGATTCTTCATCACTCTATAATTTTGCTGCTCCTTCACCAGTCTCCTTCGAATCCGACCTTTACTCCAGCTGAGCCATACCCTCCCTCATATACTCCTCATACAACGCCTTGTAGTTCGGGTGCCAGCGACTCAGCGCCGGGCGTCCCTCAGCGATGTCCGCGGCGGCCCACATGATCCTCAGCTGGTCCACCTCGCGCTTCGTTTCGTTGTCGGGGACGAGGATGTAGAACTCACCCTCGCGGACCTTGTCGAGCATGTAGAGAACGGTCTCCTCGGGGGTCCAAGCACCAGCAGGCTTTTCTGCCTTGCTGTCTGAGCCAGTGAGGCCGGTGAAAGTCCAGCCGGGACTATCGAGTGTAAATCGGAGAGTATTGATCCAGGAAGAGGTCGATCGTGAAGTGGGTATCCGGCCAGTCGAGAAATTGAGTATGTAGAAAGAGGAGAAACGTACACAATCAAATTAGCAAACATACAGCAGTCCCAAGCATGAGAAGCGCACATGAACAGATGAGCGGTAACATCGCTGTTGGGTCGTTCCCGCAATTCATGGGCCAGGCCTTCTGTAAGACTCTTCACGGCTGCCTTAGACGCATTATAAGCTGCATTTCCTCTGTATTTAGACGTGATTTCCATATGAAAGAGTTCGGATAATGAGACTAGGGGAAGAGACGTACGGAGGGTTCGTAATTCCTTGCTTCGATCCAGTGTTGATGACAATAGCAGGGTTCTCCTGGTGGAGCATGCTCTAGTAACGAACGTGTATTAGCAGTGCATTTGAGAGGCGTGACTATACAATGAGGAGACGCTTACGGGAACGAACGTCTGCTGAACGTTGATGATTCTGAGGGAGCCAAGGAACGTTTGTTAATGAGATAACCAAAAAAGATAAGATAAGAAAGGAAAGAGCGCACCCAAAGAGGTTGACATCGAAGACTTTGCGCCAGTTCTCAATACCATCCCATGAAGTTCCCTTGTCGCCGATGCCGGCATTGTTCATCAGGACAGCGACCTAGACCAAGATTAGCGCAAATCAAGGGTGGATATACAGGAGTTATGGTGGAGGAGGGCGTAGGGTTTGGAAAGAGGAGGGAGAGATTCGAGGCCCTAGAGAGTAATAGATGGGAAAAGGCACATCTAGCCAATCAGCGCTAATGAAAGCGATGAGGGGAAGATAATCAGGAGTGGCGCGGACGACGATAATCGGCGACGAATGAGAGCTAGTGGCGCAACACCATAGGCTGCCGAAGAGAGTTCCAGCTAGCAATAGCGAGGCAACCTCACCTCGCCCCATTGTTCGTAGACGCGATCTCTGAGCCGAATGACTTCCTCAAGTTTCGAAACATTGGTGGGGACGACAAGGACGTTGGCCTCGCCGATGGTCGCCGCAAGTGCCTTGCCAACCCCCTGCAACTTCTCCTCGTTGACGTCCGCGATCGCGACCTTTAAGCCGAGCCTAGCATAAGCCAACAGGACAACGGGGCAGGAGTTAGCGTTGCACGAATATTAGGAGCCATCCCGACGATCGACGGAGCGATGTCGGCGTCATCGGGAGCACGGAAGGACTGGACGTACTTTGCGAATTCGAGAGCTGCAGCGCGGCCGATACCGCTGGCGGCACCAGTGATGAGCGCAACACGGCCGGCGTGGATGACAGGGTGCAGGTCGTCGGTTATTGAGATGTTATCGGGTCTGTAGGATGCAGTGCCGGGGAACGCAGGACGCATTGGCGACCCATTGCGGCTGCGACTGCCGTGGTTCGACCTTGGGATCATCGGTGCAATAAGATAGTAAGGAGTGAAAGAAAGAAAGAGAAACGGATAGAAAGAAAGTCCGGGGTGCTTATAAGTCGTAAGTTAGTAACCAAAGTTGTTAACCTGTCAACATATGACGCGCAGTAAACATGGGGGTCCGGGCCCGTGACTGCCTTTCCCTCCTCCACTTCCTCTCCGAATGCCCATCTCCGCACAGGATTGGAAGCTCACTCGGCGGGATCTAGGGACCTCTGTACCATGACTAGACTCTAGAGGTTCGACGGGATATTAGCCCTTGGTGCCTGCTTGAAAATTACCAGTGGCGCACTCCACTGATGCGGCGCTACAAGGTTTGCATCTAAGTACCTCCGGAGAACGTAGATTTTGCCACAAGCTTGGCATCTATATGAGGCCACTTTCAGTCGGAGCAGAGTCCGAGAGGAAGCGGATTGACAAAGAGAGATTTATGTTGTGAGGATAAGAATAGACCAAACGCTGAAGTGAGCCTACCTGACCGCTCAGAAAGGTTATCACCAAATACACAGGATGAGGTGTCGAAAAAGGTGAATAATTACTCATACAAGTGAAGAAAGATTCAGAAGTAGAGAAATATATAGATAAATGGTACCGCTAATCGCGAATGAGAAAGTGGAAGGAAAAAAAGAAAAAGGTGGTGGGAGGGGGAAAGAATCCAAGATACAGCGCCAACGTTCAAATAAGAAAACGTGCGGTATGTACAACGACTTTCTGCGTACAGATGGGGCATAATGAAGTGTGGATAATACAGTAATTTCGAAGGAGAGGAGAGGTTCGCCACCAAAGTAGAGCTAAGACGCGCGTCGAGATTAGTCGAGGATACCGAGTCGAGTCGTCGCCATCGTTGCTCGCGCTCGCCGAGCTTGTCGTCGATCAACGGGGTCGTGCGAGTATCGAAAAGGGGGAAGGAGAAATAAAATTGGAAATGATAGATGAAAGGAGAGGCTGACCAAAGGCTGGAGGTGATATTTCAAAGTAAGTTTATGGAAAGGGTCGAAGCTTGGTTCGCGAGAAAAAGGAGAGGCATAGATTGATGACAGAAAGAGAGGACAGAGAAGTGGTATATGGGCCACCGCAAGTTGCAGGCAGTCACTTGCTTCTTGTCATATCGACGACGGATCGCCGAATGGGTCAAAGAGTTGGGTCGAGTTGCCAGTGTTAAACTCTTTAGGCCTTGACTCCAGCACTGCTCGGGACAGCACTCGGCGGACCACCCTCGATGCCCATCTTCTTCCTGACCAGCTCGAACGTCTTCAGCATCTTCCTCCTCGCACCCAGTGCCGCAACGCCCTTCGCCTCCAGCGCTGCCTCATCCATCATCACCATGTCTTGCCACTTGCTGCCTTCGAAGTTCGGGGTGTACTTGTGCAACCTCAAGCTCCTCAACCACGCGGGGATGTCGTTGAGGAGGGCTGGGTCGACGTCTTCTTCACCCTTGGGCGTGGCATTGCCCGGGCCCGAGCCGTCGCCCCTGCTGCCCACACTCCTGGCACTCGGCAAGCCAGGCGAGCGAGCAGAGCCAGGTCCCTTCCTACCGCCGCCAGGGCCCATCTGTCCGAGGCCTGCACTCATAGGTTGCATGCCCAACCAACCGCCGACGTTCACACCGGGCTGCCCGAACCCGCTCGCAGCCATCTGGGCGGCGAGGAGCTGCGCCTCGGGGGACATCATACTGAGCATGTTCATGTTGAAGGGGCTCATTGGCTGCATGCCCAAGCCTGGCATGCCCATTCCCATCGTCGGACTGCCCATACCCATCCCAAAGTTGCCCATCTGCATCCCAAGCCCGTTCATCGCACCGGCATTGCTTCCTCCTGCATCCGACCCGTCGCCGAACCTGTTCGGCTGCCCATGAGGATTGTTGTTGAGCGCCGGGCTCCTCCATTGCGGTCCACCACCACCCCTCGCACCGCCGGCACCGCCGCGTCCTGCATTCTGGTTCTGGTTGTGAACTGGATTGCCGTTATCATCGTACACTACATGTCCGTCATTGTTACCGTTGTTGTTATTCGCGCTCTTCGGATTGCGACGATGAATAGTAGGATCTCCCATGCGAGGGACGCCCGGGCCGGGATTCTGATGCCAATCTGTCTTCGGGGCGTTATCGACAGCAGGTGCAGGTCGGGTCTCCTTCTTGAACATCGGGATCAACGGAGTTGTGACCATGCTAGCCCAACTATCACTCGCAGGAGCCGTAGCCTCGTTACTGGCCGACCTAGGAGTGCCAATGGTGCCTGAAAACTCCGTACTCTTCGGGCGCGAGACATTGACGGTAACTTCCTGGGCGGGGGCCTGTTGCTCCGAGACTTGGCTCAGTACAGAAGGGCCCCAGGAGCCACGTCCATCCCCTCCAGCAGAGGCAAGAACAGGCGCGGAAATCCTGTGCGAAGCATTGCTAGCCTTGAGTTTGGCCCTCTGTTGAGCAAGAGTTGCAGCAGCAGACTCGTTCTGCCCAATTGCATTGGCGGCTGAATCGGGCGACAAAAAGTTGGAGCTGCTGTCCAAAATTAAAGACTGGCGGTTGCCTGGATTGAAGCTGCGGGTCGTAGGCGACGCAGGAAGACCAGACTTGAGACCTGGAGACTTGATGCTCGCAAGCTTGGCTTCCATTTGGCTCTGCATTGATCCTAAAGTATTAATAGGTCAGAAATGAATGCGCCCAGAAACCTAGGAACAAGTACCACCCATGGCCGGACTGAGCAGGGCGGTCATCGGGTCGGACCTGGCCATTTGCTGAAGGACTGTGATGAAGAATCGAATTTGAACTTGGGTAGAGTGTTGAAGAAGGCTGTAAAGAGCGGCTGTGCGCTCTGCTTCGGAAAGAACCTTGAACCCTAAACATAGACATAATATGTCAAATAGTTGCCAACGGCGAAAACTAAAGAGATAACGGACATTGCTCGATGGCACTCAGCTCCTCTTTAAAATTGACATCCAAGGAGGCAGCTGCCATGTCCTCCTGCAGTGAATATCAGGGATCCATGATCACATCAAGAAAGATCCGAGGTTGACGCACCAAAGTGGCCTCGTAATTCTGAAGGTTTTCGAACCATTGGTCAAGAGCTTCCGCTGAAGAAACGAGTCGTAGCATTAGTACCAAGCTAGGCGCAAGTTCAGGAGGTACGCACCTTCAGGAGTTTGGAACATGGCCCCTGTGCCTAGTAGCTCGCTAGTAGGCCTGGCGCTCGGTTGGCCTCCCGGGCGGGGCGAAGCAGGGGCAAGAGTTGGGGTAGCGCGAGCAGCCGGTCCCAGCGACTGGCGTGCTGCTGCCTTGTTGCCGTTCTCAAGTGGGCCCGGGCTTGGGCTCGGGCTGGCAGAAGGTGGGCGAAGACTCATCTTGAATCACGAATGTGAAAAGTTGAAGAAGGGATTGTAAAGTGACGAAGGTGGTGTGACGGTGAGGGTTTAGTAATCGCAAGCGGGGTTGTTGGACCAACGACGAGAAGACCGTTGATCGACGAAGTTTTCTTTTGTTTCTTTCGTGTGTGAAATTAACCGCTTATACGGCTGGTGGTGGGGTGATTCCTGGACGTCGAGTCGAATAGACCTGCTGATAGGGGGTTGGGCAAGACGGGGGTGCTAGAAGCAAACAAAGTGCACGGGGAATGGGCGGGGGATGGGTATGGTTTTTGTCCAACCCTGGGATTCTGGAGGCTTTTGTGCTGCAGTGTTGGTCTAGACGAGACCAGCGGAGCCTGCCGGTCTAGCTAAGAGCTCTCTTTGGGACTCGGACGCAAAGAACGACGAGGGAGCGAAGGGAAAGCGAAGACACCCTGTGGTCGCAGTGGTTAAGGCAAGAGACTGGTGTGTGCTGGCTCACAATCAAGACAACAATCAGACTGTCACACATGTCACACTCTCCGCCTTCATCATTGCGGCGCTGTTTCAGCTGGACCTTCATCTACAGCCTCTTACGCGGAACTCTCGGACGTTTGTAGACAAAATGAAGAAAGCTAATATTACCACCAAAACATTACATAGCCCCATATCATGATGCAATCTCGCAAATCACTCGTCTTCATAGCTTGAAGTTCCACCGGCCTGGAGACATGTAAGTCTTACCCCAGTCGGTACAGGCGTGCAAATTCCACTCACATTCATCGAAGTAATCATACCGCATCGTCGTGTTCATGAACCCGTTGAAGTCTATCCACGCAGAGCGGTCGGTGGCGTTCTTCAGGACATCCTCAATCTTGACGGTGTCTGCCGTGATGACATTTAGATGAAATGAAGAGCACGCGAGAGGGAAATACGTACACCTCTTGTGCTTGCCCCCATTGGGATTCGCCAGAGGCGCCCTCCTGGTCTCGTAGTTGAACCAAATATAACCGGTAGCTACTAGCTGTATCCGTCCTCGAGCTGGGATGATGCAATGTTGGTTGAGGATCTTGAATGAAGAATGAGTAGCGAAGGCAGGAGGCCGAAGAGCTACTCACAGTTCCGATGCACTTCTTGTCCGGCACAGGCGTCAGGTCAGTCTTCTTGATTGTCACATTTGTTGCAGTGGTGACAAAGCTGTGTGGACACTTAGACGAGGCTCTCCCATCCCGTCATGGAAAGCAAAATGCCTACCTGTTATCCGGAGCGTTGATGAACTTCCCAACGGTCTTCAGAGAAAAGAGCTCCCGGTCGTTCTTGAAGGTGATGTTGGGCATCTGGAAGTTGCCCGAGAAAAAATCGGCATGTGCAGCAGAGGTAACATCTAAGGAAAGGTTCATGAAGTTCAGCCTCCCAGAGACAATGGCATCTTACTAGTGATGTTCCAATTTCCGATGTTGAGGTAGCCCTCGTCAACGTTGATGTTGTTCGAGTTTTTCTCAGGCGGAATGTCCACTCTTGTGTTGTTGCACTGTGGTTCGCCTGGTCAAAGAAACCCGCTTAATCCAATACAGACATGGTCACTTGTGTGCCACTTACCGGTTGCAACGACTTCCACCGGATCGGCAACACACATAGTAGCGGATTTATCTTTGTACTACAGGAACGACGTTTATTTAAACGTTCGGAAGGTCGAAAAGGGTCGAAAGAGCTCACGCCGGGAGGGTTAATTGTGATAGTCCAGTCGCCTTCGCCCCACGTTGAACGAGCATGTTGGATGACTTGATGCCAACCAGGAACTACGGGCACCCTCAAGCATTTCCCAACATTCTAAAAGAATTGACCACTTACGCGACTCGGCGTCATCGAGATCCAACATTGAGCATGGGCTCGCAGTGTTCGACCGTGCTACCAACTCCCTGGACTGCAGCTCTGATGGTTCAGACGTTTGGCGACGAGAAAAACGAGAAGGTGCGGCAGTAACATTAAGGAATTGTGTCGAAAGTGCGAGAGTCAGCAGGAGAAGAGTGGTTGGGATTCTCTGGAAGCAATGAAATCCGTTAGAGCTAGGAAGGAGAGAAGGGCTGGGAAACGCACAGATCTCGACAGCATCATGAAAAGTCCTTGTTTATTCTGGCCGCCCAGCGTCCAGCGCGTTTATCGCTCAGCGATGATGGTGGTGTGAGGTAGAGTCTTGCTCCGGTTCGATGATGGAGTCCGCGAGCCTCCCGTTTCATCAGCGAAGCTGGCACGACACCGCCTCATTCGGAGGACACACGCGAGCCGTTCGGAAGTTCCATAATGGGCAGAGGCCGAGCTTTGGCATCCTATACTTAAGAAAAGCAGCGTGGTTGTAGGAAAGGTGAGAAGAAGAGATAGAAGTACTCGTCAACGAAATAAGTGGCAAACCGGATGCTGATTGACGCCACACAGGTTGATATTGAGAAGCCGACCCATCTTGACTCTTACCACCATAGCCACTACTAGTACCACAACAGACACGGGATTGTGTCCTTCCGACTCTATCTTCTGGTTTCCCTGCCGTCATGCAACATCGTACCTCCATTTTTGCCAGACTCAAACGGGTCAAAAAGAGTCAAAGACCGAAAATACGACACTAGTCAGCCTATAATTTTGCTACTTCTGATATCTTGGGTCTTTGAAGCAAAGAGGCCTAAAGTGAGCATATTGTTTGTGCTATTTTTCTCTGATGACAATCCTGATAAGTTGTGAGTGTGCAGGAGAGTCGAGATGACGATAGCCAATCTTTTTGTCATTCTGTCGCGGTCTCCTGCGCTTTCTATAGCCATAGCTGTGACAAGATTCCGCTACCAAAACTCAAGGTTTTTACGGATGCCGGTGCATTGGAATGCTCTCATGTCTACAACACTCTTCTTCTCCGAACGAAAATAAATCCAGCCCGGTCTTCTCGCTACTCCGATTTCGTACGTACTTCCAGGCCGTTCCCAGCAAACAATTATTGACTAGTTGCCCAGGCCGCCTCAAACTCTTCGCAGCTTCTAGGAAGGGAAAACCCCACGCGTGGATCTTTATTGTTAACCAAAGTCCTGTTCCTACATCGACCACCGCCATATCTGCATGCTCGGAAGTTGTCCGCACGACAATGGTTAGCTGTCATCAAGACAATGGAGAAGTTGAAGAACAATACTGTAGTCCTGATGTCTCACACGCTTATTCACTGAGTACTGAAGGATCTGTGGTATGTATGTTAGCAGAAGGTGGTGTCAGCGCGTTGGGACGGAGATAGCTGACTAGAAGTGTTTAGTTCAGGTGCTCTAAGCATTTTATTGTCTTCGCTTGGTCAGGTTGAGTGCCGTAAACCTGGTCGCCTACATCCATAAAACATGCAGGACGAGAAGATGATCACATATGTTTGGTTTTTCTCTTTTCACAGAGCGTCCTCCTGCGCGCCGCCGCCGCGTCTACGATGACCGACTTTGTCCACCCACAATCATCTCTTTACCCCTTCCAACACCAGTTGAGACAACCACTGTCGTCCGTACTCCCTTGGTTTCCGACCCTACTCCCCGCAAACCGGCTCCCCCCCATGCCCCAACTATTTTCCGTGTCTCGCCCGCAAGGCCAGTCATCCCAGCCGCTCTCGCTCGTTTCTTCGACACCTCCAGACCTGCCAAATTCGATATCAGCGAGCGCCATACTGCATCGAAGCAGACAAGGGCCCCGAAATTCTATGACATGCATCTGCACCACGCGCTCCGTTTGAAGCACATCATCATTCTCGACCACCTCCCATAGGCGTTGGTCGAAGAGTGCGATCTTTTGGCCAGCGAGTCCACACTCGATTGGGACGAAATCCTGGGTATGGACGATTCTGATGGAGAGGACGGATATCGTGCCTTGTCCGCCCTTCCCGAGATCGCTCACGAGCAACCACTTGTCGACTTCTACAAAGACTCGATCAGCCCAAAGTACTGCAAAGTTGCCTCTGCTCTCCTTTTTGGAGAAGGTTACCCAGTCTTCAAGTGGTACAACCAGCCCAACGAGATTCGCAAGCGCAACGAAGGAATCGCGGATGGCTTCTTGGGCATCTCCGCCGGCTCGCAGTCGAAGCGGAGCGGTCTCAACGACGAAGTTCAGGCTGAACTCAAGCTGCTCAAGAAGCACGGCTTCAATCAGCTCGGTATCTGGGAATTCAAAAACCTCCTGTATGGCCAGAATATTATGACCAGCATTGGGAGCCTGAACGGCGAGTTCCGATGGAGGGCTTGTCAAGAGCGAACAATTTGCGACCAGGCATCATACTCCTGCAATCAAACTGCGACGCACAGGGTCTCCGGCCAGCCGCGAGTCACTGGAAAGGCTGCTGGGACTGATGGACTTCATAGCTCGATTGTCGAAAGGGCGCGAAGGCTTGGGCAGAAGCGACATGCCCCTGGCGACTCGGGGTTGCCTCGTCGAAAGCGAGTTCGCTTTCACGATGCGGGCAGTGATCTGAGCGATCTTTCAGAGTTGTCCAGTGACGAGGAGGCGGAAGACGACTCAAAGGGGCCTAGCAATGACAGCGCCGAATATGCGGCCCAGCAGGTGCGCGTCTGTTGCATACACTTCGATAATTCATTTGTTTACCTCTCTTCAGGTCTGGACTGAAGCTGTCATCGACGACGCCACCTTCATGGTATTTTCGAATGGAATTCAGAAAGACACAAACGCTCTATCTGTCATTCCTCATCGTGCCTCACAGAGACACTGATCTCACTCATGGCAAACTCCATGTCGCTCTCTACATCCTGGCATACAAAGATGCGGTGGCTCGCGCGAGGAAACTGGATGCACTGCTCAGCAGCCCTCCGTCTAACCTTCCCTTTCGCTATCAATTGAATTTTCACAAGGCACCTAGCGATTCGAAACCCAAGCCAAGGAAGAAAAACGTCGAAAACATCGAAAACATCGAAAACATAGACAAGGTGTGTCTAACTCTTTATCTGAAAAAGACACCGACTCCAACTGGGTTATAGGAGGTTGTTGACGCACTCGACCGGTCGCATTCTCTCGTTCTACGCCTTCATGGCTTCGCTCCAATCCACCACGCTCTGAACATCAACACTTGGCTTTTTACTCGCAAAAACACCACAGCGACGACGAGCAGACCTGTTAAATCACGGCCAACGATTTCAGAAACCAAGTTTTCCTCGACCTCGAACGAACGCAACTCAGTGGGAGTACAACTGTCTTCGAGGTTTTTCTAGGCAAATTCGGTTCAGCTGGGCCGACGTTTCCGACATATTATTCGAAGAGCCTCATTATTAAACTCGCGAGGACCCAGAATGAGGTACGCGCTCTACGTGCCGAGTTCCAGATGTACAAAGAACTCGTCAGGGATGGCGTGGATGGCATTGTTAAGGTTTATGGATTCTTCTCAGCTAAGATCAGGGCCGACGAGGAGTGCTACATTCTACTCATGGAAGGCGGAGGCATGCCCTTGTCCGCCCGGCTTAACCGTGCCAATTTCAAGAGCCATCTTAGAACTCAGAGGTTCGTCATGGTACCGTCTCCCAGATACGTTGTACTTATCCCTGTGCACAGGGCGACATGTGGTGCAGCGGTTGCCTCCTTCAATCAGAAAGGCTTTGTCCACGGCAACATCACTTACGACCATCTCCTCCTAGACGTCAAGGCGAAGAAGGCGAGCCTGATTAGCTTGAGCAAGTGCATCCAACACCACGACACGTCGGGTGACGCGTTTCGAAGTCAGAAGGACGAAGACGAACAACAGATAAGAAGCTGTTTGGGCGAATCAAAGAACGTGTTGAGCGCGTAAGGATTCCATATACATATGATTTTCTTATTACTACCTGTGTCCTTTGTACGGCTCAAGCTGCTCCTTGATCCTGGATATCTGCAGGTTTAAAAATCAGGACTTTGAGGACAGGTCCTCATGTGAACAAGTCTGATCGTGTGAAACATTCAAACAAAGTATCCTTCTCCTTCCTCGTACACCCAATCAAGGACAAAATGTACCAACAACTTCATATCGCATTCTCTCTCCCATACCTGGATCTCTCGACCTTGCACCACGATGCTATCACCTGATGACCCTTCAAATCCCGCCCTGCAGCATATTCTTGAAGCAAATCTGTCTCTTGTTGAGTTTGACGAACCCCACGATACATCTCCTCGATCTTCACCAGTGACATTCTACGACAGACATGTCAGCTCGAACCTCGTTTTGAAACGCGTTGTCTCCCTTCCCTCCATCCCACAATCTCTGTCCAAGAACTGCGAGCGAGTAATTCAGGATTTCGTCAAAGGCGGACGCAAGTTCCACAGATACGCCTCTGGGAGGACCCTCGATATTGAGCCGGGAGAGTTGATTGGAGGTTCATCCGTCGGGGCATATTATAAATCGGAAATTGGAAGTCTGTGCGCCAAGATCTCCTCAAATCTCATTCTTCACCCTGATCTCCAGAAGTATTCGGCATTCAGTTTCCACGACAGTGTGAATAAGGATACGAACGACTTTCTCGCTGAAAGCTGGCTCGAAGTCAAGTACAACGCGTCTGCTGGCTCTCTGTCGATCCCCGAAGATCTCAATGGTCATCTGGACCAACACACGAAGGACCAACTGAAGGCACTGGCAATCAAATTTCCAAAACTTGCTTTCTGGGAGATGTTCAGTAATAGCTCAACATCAGCGCGAATGATCCAAACCATGGACCAGAATGAGAAGTTCATCTGGGAGACGTTCAAAACCCCAGGCTCAAGAGCATGCTGCAATCCCCTCTACCTCCAGATGCGGCTAGAGGGACAGTGCGAAGCATGTTACCCAACACCGAATGCAGAGTACAATCACCAACAGAGGTGCCAGGAACGGACCCCCACAGGATTTCGGGGACACCTATCAAACTCCAACTCCGAACAAGACAGGGTTTTTATCGGCCACTGTCCAGATATTATCTGCAACATGTTTGTGGCTCCTCCTAGAGCAGCCAATCCGAACTGACAAACCAAGTAGGCATGGGCTCAAGCCGTCCTCGCTGATTGTTCATTCATCATCTTCACCTGTGGCGCCTGTGAACGGATTGGAATACGCCAAAGAGAGACCCAGACACTCTATCTCTCAGACGCAATCAATCCAAACAGCTGCACAAATCCTCCTTATCGAAAACTTCATCTTGGTCTTCATCTAGCCATCATCTAGGATGCACTCGACCGGCAAGGAGTATTCCATGCCGCGTTGCAGGACTGTGATATTGGGAGAGGAACGAACGACATGAGAGGTGCAGATGTGGTTCTGCCATCGATGTGCCGAAGAGCCAGCTCTCCACTATCCACAGGTCTCGATGAGGTGAGTGGTGCCGAAGAATTTGCTCCGATTTCTGCTTGACGGAAAGCAATTGAAAGGTTATGAAAGCCATAAGTGAGCGACAGCTCGCGCTTCTTTATCTGAGGTATAGCATATATTCTTCGCCTAATCCCTCGCCATTCATTCGTGTGGGATCACCTTGCTCCCCTGGTCTGCACCCTCTTCCGATAGAAGGCACATCACGCAAGACCTATGCGCCTTCCGATTGCTTCTCCCTCGTGCTAGGACCATCGCTAGGCCAAGGCGCAGTCGGGGTTGTGCACCCGGCGTCCCTTGAGGTTGCCCTTCCATCAGGGGATTGCGTCTGTCACAATGTTATCGTCAAACTCGCGTTTTCTGAGGAACAAATAGAAAAGCTGCGACACGAGTATGGCATTTACGCTTCCCTGTCTCGGAAAACAGGCGTCAAAGGCATTCTGGCTGTCCATGGGTTATTCGAAGATCAGGAAACCGGCACCCTTATGTTGATCATGGAACGCGGAGGCCAGAATCTACGAAAACGAGAGGAAGATCGTGTAGGACCCGGTAACACAAAGCAAGTCACGGTCAGTGACCAAGAAAGGTATTCGCGTTCGTTTCTTCTCCTTCCCACCGTCCCCTCATTCTTCACCCCAGAGATGCTTTTATTACTGCGATCAAGAGTATCCATACTGCAGGCATTTATCATGGCGACCTTCGAGCTGATAACTTGCTCATCGGGTCTCAAGAAGGCGAGGTCTCTATCATCGACTTCGACTGCGCAAAAGAGATAGCTTTGGGAACTGTTTCTGATACCCTCTTCCATAACCCACTGGAGAGAGAGCTGAAATGCATGCGTGACATACTTAACCGGACCTATTCCCATGGAACGTACTACTAGTCGCGCCTTAGCGCCTGACAATACAACCATGACAACTGCGACAGAAACGGATTTGTGCACCACTTTCTCGCTCCTAAATATATCTTCACACTCCATGCCTCCATCAGATATTGTATCTCAGTTTTCACAAGACCTGAGGCCAGCAAACGCGTCAAAAATCGAAAATAGGCACTGCTGGCAGGGCCTGTTGGAAAATGCAATCTTCTGTTGTTAAATTTTAGAGCTTCGAAAATGCATTACTATATGGAGTACCGGGAGCCTAAATGGAGTACCGGCGGTACTCCAAAAGGAATGCATTTTCGAGACCCCAATATTTAAAAACAGAAGATTGCATTTTACCGACGATAATATCTGGCCCTGCCAGCAGTGACTCTGAGGGCAGACTGCTGTGCGCCAAGCCGATTATCACGTGCGCCTCGACGCCGGCGCTTAATTGCAGAAGTCGCACGCCAGCTCGTCCAAGTCTCTTCTACTTCCACGTCCATCTGATATCCCCACTTCTATCGCACCTAAATCTAGTATGACGAGCGCCGGAGTCCCAGAACTTCTCCCCGGCAGGTTCTGAATCGATTCGCTCCCTCAAATTGTTACGACGGACACCCGTACTAGCAATGCGAAAGCAGAGCCCCACTGTCGCTCCCAAAGGTGCGCCAAAGACAAGAGAGATGCATTCAGACAAGCCGTAGGTGGTCTTGAACCTTTCCTCCGCACGAGAGGAGTAGAACGTCAAGTTCAGTTTGGACATGTGCTTAATCGCCAGCAGGATTCAACTTGAATTTCGTGCTTATTTTCATGACAATAGCTTGTTATTGCTTTGCGCATAGATGCCGGATCTCAGAGTGGGCGGCGGATGAAGAACAAGACCCTGCAAAGCAATACAGCTCCGTTTGTGAGTCCTAGTCTTCCTGGAAGTCGCGAGGACTTTTGAGGCACATGGGCACACGGGTGATGCGATGGATGAAAGTTTCCTGAACCAGATGCTGTCTTAGTTTGGCTCCAATTCTGAGCGCTGCACCGCCGCCCCCCCATGGCCGAAACGATAAAAAATTCAGGGGCTAGATATACAGGAACCTGGCCGGAAACTGTCAGTCTAGCTTGGCAACTGCCCAAGCGCTTAATGAGCCCCGGGAAAGTCAAATAGACTTCCTATGTTATTCGGCAGGGATGTGTAAGGATCATTCAAGGTCGTAACAGAACACATCTTACAAGTGGTAATTCCCTGCTGCTTCTGTCCTCGAAGATCTACAGGGAGCCCTATATCGCTGAAAGAAATCAGGGAGATACCCTTTTCAAACCCTTTCCGTATTATGGGAGGGCGTGCAATCCGACGGGCGCTTGCTCCGTGTTCGAGTTTGTTTAGATCTAATTGTCAATACTCTATGCGTAAATGTACCTTCTCATATTCCTTTGAACTTTGAAGCAGCCACGGTATTTCTGGTGACGTTAGGGTCAGCTTTCCTTCTTCTGACACACTTCTGAGGAGATTGTGCTAAGTGAATACGCCGACATGAAAGACAGAAGGAACGTGGAACACGAGTCGAAGATGCCCATTTGCCGGCATAGGCCGGCGTTCTTCGGGATTACCAAATCGCTGTCCGAAGGTCCGAAGGCACATCATGTTCCGAAACCTAGGTAAGATCCGGTGTGTACTGAGGTGTAGTTGGACTTGAGAATAATAGCGACTAGAGGGCGTCAAATTGTTTCAACTTGAACTAGACGCTTTCGCTACATTGGTGAGTCTGGCGCAAGTATAACGCCATCGACGCGTGATTCTGGGTCATAGGTCGTCCTTGGTATTTCGAGAGATATCCTTCTCCTACCCCGAAGGGCCACATTCCACGAAGCCTCGGAAGGCATCGATAATCGAGTCAAGAAAACCCATCAAAATGAGGCATGCATCAAGTGCCCAAGGTGAAGCAAACATATAGCTCTGTTGTCTTCAAAGGGCCTCTCTGGAATCAAACTTTCATCACCACATCATCGGAAGGTGAAGTGGGTGCCTCAGGAGTCAGGGTGGAGTAGACGCGGGTCACGAGAGGGTCCAGCGGTAACGGCCAGGAGAACTGGACGCGTGAAAGCGCGTTAGGTTGGAATATTCGCGACCTGCGTCCAGCGAAACGCCAACCTTGTACGGGTGTGAACCTATTTGGGCCAGCAGACGCCAAAAAAAAATTGCATTCCAGACGCGTTTTTGACGGCAAATCAACGCACGAACGTTGAGGCCGAAATGGCGCCAAAGCTTGCCAAGGGTGGAAAGTACGTATTGCTGTAGTGCCAGACGCGTTGTGTGCTGCAGTGTCCCTCTAGGAACGGCGTTCATGTATGAAAGTCAGTGAGGGCGAATATTCCCTTGCTTTGATGGGTCAGCTGGTGCGAATGTCCTGAAACTTGCAAGTTCCTTCCGTGCGGCCAACGACAAGGGCGCGTTTATGAATCTGTTGGGGCTGTTCTGGCGACCGCCGTGATGACCCCGCGGCGTGTCATGGTCAATTGTATATCCGCCATGGGGTTGACCTCGAGCTCCGGGGTCAAGGATCGGTTTGCATCCTCACATAAGTAAACAACGTCCGTATATAAGACTCGCTCTCGATCTCAACATTCATCTTCCTTTCCACACACACCCCCTTTTTGCACTCTATCGATAATATCTACGACCGCGATGTCGACCCCAGAACCTCCACAACCTCAAGGCGCGCCGTCACTGTCGGTGCCAGCCCAGAGGTTGTCGGCGATGAGCTCGGCACATAGCAGCGAGGCGTCCTTGCACCGTGTCAAGAACCAGCCAGGCTACAACACGCCCATCTTCAAGGGCAAGGAGGAGCAACGCGCTCTCGTCGAGAATGACGTCGCTGCCAAGGTCCGCATTTGTTTGGCCAGCGACTGATCTGATGTTGATAATGCCCCCGTTTTCTCCAGGGCTTCATCCCCCGCGAGCTCATCGGCAACGAGGTCAACTGGTTCTACACAAACCTCGGTATTGACGACACCTACTTCCAAAATGAATCGCGTGAAGTCATCTCCGACCACATTATCGCGCTCTTCGCGGCCAAGATCATGGCGTACACCAAGCATGACCCCTCGAAGCTTGTGATCGATCTCGAACGCATCGACGAGAACGGGAACGGCGCGACTTTCATTCATACCAGTGCTCCCGGATTGACGACTACCGAGGGCCCGGGTTCGGTCTGCGAATCGAGGTATGTGTCATCTTCAGTTTCATTCACTCGTCGTTGGGATCCGGGGCCCGGGGCATTCGCATTGTATTTTCTCCGCCACCCGATGCTCCGTTACCTTTTTCGCTCCATTCTTCGCGCGTCAAAATAGCGTGTACTAAATTAGCCTCCCTGGCAGAATCGACGAGCTATTCCTGAACAATTCTACTCCATCGAAGGCGTTCAGGCTCGAGACCTTCCGCTCGACCGGTTCCATTTCGGCCACGGCATCGCAGCAACTTCGTTGCTACTTCGTCACCAAATGCAACTTCCCCAGCAAATCCGCTGTAGTAGAGGGTCAGAAGACAGACATTCGCTCAGTGTCAGATTCGGCCTTCCTGGATAGGGCGACGAAGAATACATTGGATATCTATCAACAGGTCTGTTTGCCATGAATACTCTTGAAAGTTCGTTCTTGACGCGAGTCACGTTCCTTAGGTTTTGTGGAATGTCGAGTCAAGGCATGGGCCTGTCATCGAAGTATTTGAAGTCGAGGGGACACGCGAAAGGAGGTTGGTGATCGGATACAAGATGGGTGGAACGTCGAACTTCTTCAGGTATGAAGTATTTTCCAAGCCAACAGCCCCCCTTGCTTATTTTTATTCAGCGCGCTGTCCAACCTCTACCACTTCTATTCTTTGTATTCAGCTCGCAAATACGTCGGTATGTCGCATTCGTATCGCGACGGGACCGCATGCTCACATAGCACTTCGTAGAGCAATTCTCGAACGGGATCACCATCATCTCTCTGTATCTCAACCCTCTCCCGAACAGCAACGCACCCCCCATAGAACATTCCATTTTTCAAGTCATGCGAGAGGCATCTCTTCTGTTTTGCCTTCCCGACAATCCATTCTTCCTTCCCAAGTCACTAGGAAGCAATGCAGTCCAGGAGGCGACGTATGCTTGCAAGTTCTCAGTCTCCATCGCCTTGACTTCCCTGCTAATACCCGAACTAAGATTGCGGTTGGGTATTCGCTCAACACTTCTGCAACCGTCTCGGCCCGGCGTACTTGCAGCTCAAGAACGTTCTCAACGAGAATGATCCTGCTCATGCTGAGGTCTTGAACGACATTAAGCGGAGATTCAGGGAGGAGACCTTTACCCGAGAGAGCATCGCTCAAACTATCCATGCTCATCCCGATTTGGTACGCGACCTTTAATTCCTTTCGATGGAATCTCGCTAACAAGCGTCCTAGATTCGTCATTTGTATGTCAACTTCGCAATGACGCACTACCCTCCCTCGGATGCCGCTTCGAATTTGATGTAAGCGTCCTCACATTGTTTTGGTAGTCTTTGCACTCATCTACTACACTTTCAAGGCCGACACTGTCCTACCAACGGCTTCAAACAGCCCAACCACTCACAGATGCTGAGTTGTACGACAAAATTCGCCGCACCGTGCCCAACAAGCACGAGCTGCAGGTTCTGGAAAGCTTCCTCGTCTTCAACAAACACATCCTGAAGACCAACTTTTATCAACCCACCAAAGTGGCGCTCTCGTTCCGCCTTGCCCCTGACTTTTTGCCGGAGATTGAATACCCCAAAAAGCCCTACGGCATGTTCTTCATCATTGGCAACGAGTTCAGAGGCTTCCACATCCGGTTCCGCGATGTTGCTCGCGGCGGCATCCGTATCGTCATGTCGAGGAACAAGGAGTACGTCCACTTGTTACTTTCCTTCATTGACGGCCGAATCTTATATCTGTGTTTCTTAGGAACTACTCCATCAACCAGCGAATGCTGTTCGACGAGAATTATAATCTCGCATCGACGCAATCTTTGAAGAACAAGGATATCCCAGAAGGCGGAGCTAAGGGTACCATCCTGCCTTCTTTAGGAGCCACGCCTAGGAGGTGCTTTGAGAAATACGTCGACGTAAGAGCTACATATTTCGTGACTTAATCGCATATACTCATGCCTGTGCTTCTTTCTAGGCCGTCGTCGACCTTCTCATTCCCGGACAGACCCCTGGAATTAAAGATTCTCTTGTCGATCTCTACGGCAAGCCCGAGCTGCTCTTCTTCGGTCCGGATGGTGCGTCCTCACTCGTGCTCTTTCTGCCACGTCTTTGACGGATGCTTTGCTAAATAGAGGGTACTGCTGACATGATGGACTGGGCTGCCTGTAAGGATTTAATAATATACTACAATGATTGGCAACCTAATCGCTCCTTCAGTGCATGCTCGCTCTCGTGGTGCCGAGACATGGTGGAAGTCGTTCACCACAGGCAAGAGCGCAGAGCACCTTGGTGGTGTACCACACGATACTTACGGCATGACATCGCTGTCAATTCGGCAATACGTGCTTGGGCTCTATAAGCAGCTCGGCCTGAGGGAGAAGGACATTACGAAGGTGCAGACTGGTGGCCCTGGTATGTTCTATGTCTCTTGAACCCGCAATGATTGTCTGATTGATCTCTGCAGACGGCGATCTTGGCTCCAATGAAATCCTCCTCTCATCAGACAAGACTGTCGCCGTTATCGACGGCAGTGGTGTCCTTGCGGATCCTGCTGGCCTTGATCGAGCCGAGCTCATGCGTCTAGCTAAATTGCGTATCCCCGTCAGCAATTTCAACACTGCGAAGCTGAGCAAGGATGGTTATCTCGTCAAGGTCGAGGATCAAGATGTCAAGCTGCCTTGTAAGCTGAAGCCCATTCCTTGTCGAGGTGGCTGATTGACTTCAATTATAATAGCTGGCGAGATCGTCCTCGATGGTACTGACTTCCGCAACAGTGCCCATCTCAGGTTCAAGGCCGATTTGTTTGTACCCTGCGGTGGTCGACCTGAAGCCGTCAATATCTCGAACATGGGTGCATTCTTCGATGCCGATGGGAAACCCCACTTCAAGTACATTGTCGAAGGCGCCAACTTGTTCCTTACCCAACAAGCCCGACTCCACCTCGAGAAGAGGAAGGTCATCCTGTTCAAGGATTCCAGCACCAACAAGGGTGGTGTGACCAGCTCCTCCCTCGAGGTCCTCGCCGGTCTCGCACTGTCGACCGAGGAGTACACCAACCTCATGATCTTCAAGGATGGGAAGCCCAGCACGTTCTACCAGAGCTACGTCAAGGACATCCAGGCCAAGATCGCGGAGAACGCTGCGGCCGAGTTCAACTGCATCTGGAAGGAGCACTCGCGCCTTCAGGGCACCAAGACCCGCACGGCCATCTCGGATGAGCTCTCGCAGACACTGAACAACCTCCAGGCCGAGCTCGAGAGTTCTGACCTCTTTGACGATGTCCCGAGTCGCCATGGCGTTATGAGGCGGGCGATTCCCAAGACCCTCGTTGACACGGTGGGATTGGATACTCTCCTGAAGAGGCTCCCTGTACCATACCAGAAGGCCTTGTTCTCTAGCTGGGTTGCCTCTCGCTTCGTAAGTTTCTGCCTATTTAGTTTCTTTGCCAGAGGATTTTGTTCTGATTTTTTTCTTTTTTTCCTTTGCAGATCTACAAGTACGGCGTGAATGGTTCGAGTGTCGACTTCTTCCACTTCGCGCGCGACCTCGCTGGCGCTGCTTAGAATATAGACCAGATTGGCTCTATAGATCTCCAGTCGCCTTCCATTTCATCATAATATCGGAGCCACATTCTGACTACCTTGGTTCCCCTAGCATTAACCACCATCCCGTCGTCCTCTCCTTTCGTCTGTGGCTCTTCGGACTCAAAGTAGTGATAAAAAAAGGTGCATCATATCGTTATCTACGCTTTCCTTCTCTTGGATAGAAATACAGCATTCCCCTGGACTTTATATACTCCATTATTCTGAGAGTCTTCAATCGAGTTGGTTTCTCCGCGTCAACGCTTACATAAAGCAGTGCGCCACATTGATAGTTCACTTGCTTGTTTTGGTGATATAGTCGCAAGAATGTTATTTTGACTCAAATATTGTTCCAACAGTGAGATCATACATAGCGCAGAGCATTTCTGACGGCACCGAATACACATTTTCGCAATGCAAAACAAATGTTTCGAATGGGTCTTCGGGCCCGAGGTCTTGACTGGTCTTGAGTATTTCGTTTCGCGTCCGTGGGCAATAGTGCCTGATATACACACATAATCACAAACCAAGGTAATTATAAACGAGAGGCTGCTGAACAGAAGCTGCGAGAGAACATGTATGGCCTTGTCTAAGTTGTTGTGCTCAGCTCAAAAAGAATAAGGCAACAGAGAACTATCGCTCCGTCATTTGTCAGGCAGAATGCATCCTAGGTCAGACAGTTACTGTTGCTGCGCGTAGAACTTCACTTCCGACTTGATGTCGGCGAGATACGCCTCCTTTCCGTACTTGGGCTTCCAACCTAAAGCTCGGCCGCGGTCGGCTTTGGCATAGCAGTTGGTACCGAGCCAAAACCAGAGCGGCTGGCAATGTGATGGCGTTGAACTGGTTAGTGCACGCATAATTGTGAGCATCAAGAACATACCCCTAAATATTTCTCACTCTCTTCAATAGTGAAGTCAGTGGGTTTTGGGTCGGTGCCAATACCCAGTTCGACCAAAGTCTCCGCGATCACAGTGGAGGCCTCGAGGTAGGAGTAGTCAAAATTCTCTGCGAAGTAGTAGCCACGAGGGACTTTGTCCGGATTGGCTCGAATAGCGTCAAACAGAATGAGGTATAAATCGGCATCTGTGAACACCAATCAGACAGAGACCTCGTAGTTCGAAATCCAATGCGAAACGTACTGTCTTCTACGTGCACAGCTGGCCACCTATTCAACCCTTTGCCGATGTGACCTCCCTGCTTGCGTGCGATGGATGCTTTGAGGAGCCATGGTAGCTGCATCGAGTGGCCATTTTGAATTCCCAGCTCAATAAGAGGTCCTTCAGGTTTTCCAAAGACAGTGCCTAGAAGAAGGGTGTATTCGTCTCTGAGCACGTCTTGAAGTATAACAACTCACTTGGAGTAACAACGTACGCCTTGATGAAACCTGCTTTATCAGCCTCCAAGATAGGGATGTCTACGTTCCGGTGTGGCGTAGTCACAGGGAGGGCGTTGAGCTTGTCTGTTTCAACGTCGCTGTAGTGAATGTGCTCGCTAGCGAGGCCTCGGGCATCATCTACAAGGATACCTCCAGCCTGTCTGTTATTTCGTGAAGATAGACAACGTCTCGCTCACTGACCTGTGCCAGACTATCGCGGAGAATATCAGCTTCTCAAAGAGGAACAACGGAGACAGCAGCACTGCGCACCGTATGAATCAATATCGGGGCCTTGCTAGATGCTTCGTACTTCAACTTCAAACCGTCGAGGATGGCTTGGGCTGGAGGAAGGTTGTCACAGTCAACCTGCACGTTTGTGAGACTTTAAATCATCAGAGCACTGATATAAGCAAGGTGGGACCTACCGCAGTGATAACCACATCAGCCTTGGAAGCCGCTTCCTTTAAGAAGGTAAGATCCTCGTTGCTGTACGATCCAATGATGGTGTTAACTCCAAGGGTCTTGAGCTTTTCTGCTTTGTCGGTGGAGCGCACGAGAGCAGTGATGTGGAAGGACGCCGCGTCCTTGTGCTTGAGGAGACGCGAAAGGACACTCCCCCCGATGTAACCTAGAGGACCATTAAACGCCGAAACTCGATAGTAGAAAGGTCATACACTAACCGGTAACGCCTGTGAAGAAGATATTTAATTTGCTAGCCATGCCTTTCTACTAGTTCTGTAATGAGTGTCCTGCAATCATTCGAGAACGAGCCACTTTATACACTACAGCCAACATCCATCAGTCGGCCCGCTGATGAAAGAGGGTGATTGAAGCACTTACAAAGCGACACTGATTCGTGCTTCATAATGCATCTTCATCTTCATAAGCAAAATTTCCTTCAATCATCTAAAGGTGAGACGCCCTTGGGGCCCGGATTCGCATATCTTAACGGGAAGTAGAGGTCTGGAAGATGAATCGCCGAAAAAGATACATAGTAGTATTCTATTTGAAACCTTGTTCCTCCTTGTTCACCTCATTGGTACTGAAAGCTTGAGGCGGCTTAGCAATCAGAATATACCTCCCAGATGGACTAGAGCACTGCCGGTGACAAAGCATCGCGGAATGGGGGTCGCCATTCTGCGAGATGTGTTGAGGAGAGGAATCGGAACAGGTTACTACGACTCACGGGTCCTATCTACCTACCAACGTACCGACGTAGTAGGTTAACTTATTTCTGTAGTGAAAGGAGGCGACTCGTTCTCGTCATGGTCCCGCCGTGGTGGTATACTTATGGGCCCACTCTTGCACATAAAGTGGGGCTTGTCGTCGATGGTCGATGAGGACACAATTTTGCCGTTGTTTTGCGCGCCGGGTATAAATTTCACACGGTCACGTTGGTTATTCGATGGCTGTGCCCAAAGGCGCCAAATGCTGGTCGGCGCCAAATATGTTGGCGACGTTACCGGAAAATGCAACCTTTTAGTATTTCTGGTAAGTACAAGACCTGATTATAGCTGAATATCAAGCAAGTATTGTCTAGCAACAATCCAATACAGGTTATGTGCGCCTGAACCTTGCAAGGCCCAGTACTAGCCCGTCCGATGCGCCTTCATCAGCGGCAGATTTGGATTTTTGGCCTTGAAAAAGCTTAAATTTAGGCATTACATAGTGCTCCATAGCATTCCGTAGTGCCATAATTGAGGTCCCCCATTGCATAGAGACCCCCCTTAGCTACACAGCATTCCATAGTGGCCCATAGCGATTCATAACAAAATCCAAGTCTGCCGATGGCCGGCCGCCCTTTACGCAACCTTTCCGCGCCTTGCTCGTAATAAATGACCCCGAACACAGACACCACAATCACCATGGCATGTTGCGCCTCTAGGGAGCTCAAGTTAGGCCAACTCAGTCTCTGGATCGACTCACTAACACGCTAGGATGTTACATAGAGGGAGTTTGTCCGCGGAACCTCAATCAACAGAAGGTAAGCCATAAGCACAGTAAAACACCGTGGCCTGCAGTCGGGAAAACGGAGGTTACCCGAGACGACTCTGACTCGGGATAGGAAAAATACGCGTACCCAAGATCAGTCCGTCTCCTTCACTTTGACCTGGTTCGTTCGAATTCATATCCTGAAGAGGAACACGCAAATTTATCGCTGAAGAAGCACGAGTATTGAAGAAAGTGGATACACCACATTATTTCCGAGGACGTAGTTGGGAACCATCGTTCATGGAACATGTTCGAATTTGGTTGGCAATGGACGGAGAGAAACATGAAGCTTGAAGAGTCGATTGAGTCGATAGACAAAAGACGGATACTCTTGGCATGTCCAGAAATAGCCAGGAATTCACACGCATGGTACGGCCCGGTCGGCTTTGTCTCTTCTTCCACCACAGTCATCCGGAAGCTACGATTCTACTCTTCTTTCTCCACGCAAAATGGCCTCCAATACTTTATCTCCTAGTCCAGAACTTCCAGAACTATTTCTCGCTCTCAAGAGAACGGAGAGCACATTCGAAGAAATCCCTGTGATGTTGCTGGCTCTCCTGACTTTGCACCGACTTCAATGTTCAATTCAGTGTTGACAGTGACCTCGCGAATGCGTGTAGCAAGGACACGGTCGCGCGTCGGAAGCTCGCAGATCTTATACGGGATGCTTGTATAAACGTGAGTTATGCGAAATTTGAGCCCGTTTCCTCGGGTGAGATCGTTCCTCAGGTTGGCTTCTTCTACAGTGCGTGCAGCTTGCCAGCGTGATCTCCCGGTTATGAATACTAATTATTGTGCTAGTAAAATCGCACGGCATATCCGAGGATCTTATTGAAAAGACCGTGGATGTAGCCAAGACGTACTTTGCCCTTCCTGAAGAAACCAAGATGGAGGTTTGTCGTGCGCTAGCTGACCACAATGCGACAACGGAATTTAACCGTTGATCACATATACAGCTCGACATCCACAAGACACCCAACTTCAAAGGGTATACTGCTCTTTTTGGCGAGAATACTGATTCAAATGGGCTCGGAGACCTTCACGAAGGATTTGATTTAGGGTGGGAACCCGCAATTGATTCTACTCAGGTCGATACATCAGCTGAGGCGCCACGGAACGATGGTGCAATGAGTGGGGAGAATGTATGGCCAACAGGCCTTCCTGGATTTAAAGAAACGGTTCTTGATTATTAGTAAGTTCCTTGCATGCATTTTGGTCGTTTGCAGCTTATCTGATAAAGTACCCAGTCAGAGAGTGCTTCAAGTCGGACAGTTGCTTTTTCCGCTGTTTGCTCTTGCGCTGGACCTTCCTGAGAATTATTTCGACGACAAAGTGAACTCTATGGATTTGAGATATAGCATAGCGATTGACCTCCAACTCTCTTCAGACAACCAAACCCGCTGCGATCATGCGACTTCTCCATTACCCACCACAGAATCCGACCAGCTTCGAGACAGATCCGGATGGCCGACAGATAGGAATTGGTGCACATACGGAGTGTGTATTACCACCTAAATACCACTTGAGAATCTTCTTATAGTTTTCTTTGATAGCTATGAAGTGCGGCTCCGCGGTCTTTCTGCTGGCTGATCCCCAGCTGATAGCTCGCCGCAGTGCTTTACGATATTGTGGCAAGATCGCTCTGGTGGCTTGCAGGTACAGAACACTGCTGGCAAATGGGTCGACGCTGTGCCTATCCCTGGCACCTTAGTCGTCAAGTACGCAGTGGTTTACTTGTTGATCATATGCTGTGGCTGTTCCTGACTCGCCATGTTCTTCTTTGGTAGCCTCGGAGACCAATTTGCTCGCTGGACAAGTAAGGATATCTCTGCGCCATTCCAGTATTGCAGATAACGCCCATCGGATTTCTAGACGACATATTCAAGTCGACACTGCACCGTGTAATCAACCGCTCAGGCACTGAACGATACTCAATTCCCCTTTTCTTTGGGACGGATTACGACGTCCGTCTGGAGGCGAGTAACTGAGATTCGGTGTAACCACGTCAGCTTTTCTAATTGTCTATCTTGCAGCCCATTCCCACTTGCGTTACACCTGGATCGCCTTATAAGTACGAGATCATGACGGCCGGGGAATATGTCAAATCGAGGCTTGAAGCTACTTACGCTCATTCTGCGCCTGTAGCGAGTGCTGCATGACCCCGCACCCTTCCATTGGTGTTGATTCCATCTCGTATTCGAATCGACAAGCATGGGCTGACGACGCCACGCAGACCATGGTGTCTGCAAGTAGTACTAACAGCCCATTTACTCCTTCTGAGGTGTACGATTAGGAAGCTGCATCATACAAATTTATTTCTTGGGCCTATCAATAACGTCCTCACTTGCAGATGCATCATGAGAGCGGATTCGCGAAGGAGGTTCGTCGTATCACGATTTTAGAGCCTCGTATCTGGTGGCGTTGTACAACTGGACTCGGGATGTGCACCGTGTGGCGTGCCAGTTTGCACCGTGTGTCAGTGAGAAAGCCCTCTCTAAACGAGCGGAATTCCGTTCGCGCACCCGATCCGCCTATGATGAGGGTGAATTCGGATCCATACGCTTTCGTACTGCATCCATGCGCGTAAGAAGCTTTCCTATTGATCTCTTGGCTGGTCGTCTGACGAAAGGGTGAATCATCGGGGCCACGTAGGAGGGAGTGAGCTGGCTGGCGTAAATAGACGGGCAGCGTATGGAAATCTGGGGTAGAGCGGCTCCAATGACAATGAAGAGGCGAGGCGTAACTCTTAGGAGTAGACCTCGAGCAAGAGGGTTGGGAGGTTTTGTTTCCGAGATGGAGGCGACTGAACCCATATATACTAGTTTCGTGCTTTGGTCTTGTCTGGTCAGGATTGACATGGACAAGGCTGCTTGTGGTTAGTCAAGAGGTTACACTGGGTGTTTCTGCGGGTGACAAAAAGCTAATAACGACATTGTTACCTGTAGAGCCTTTCGCGTTGGATAAACGGTGCCGGCAGACCAAATTTAGACGCCGTCCGGACGTCCGGACACCAGGAATACTCTCCGTGCCTCATAATTAAATTTAGGGATTTGGAATGACGGTGAGAAGGGCCAGGAGCAGGTCAGTGACGTGATTCAAGCTTACGACCAAGGTCCTTCGGCAAGAGCGACGCGGACGAAGGTATGTTGATGAGAAAAGGAGAACCGAGATGAAGGGTCGACCCCGAATACGACTTTCGAATCGTGCGATAGCCAGAGAAGTATGTCAGTCACCTGGGATACTTCAAGGATACCTCATCATTCCCGAGTAATTGGCAAGTAGTCGTATGACGGACAGCGCTTCTAGTTTCGAGGTGGGGTCCAGAGGGGCGAGAAGGAGATGGGTGTACCAGTGATAGCTCGTCGAGTTGTCCGTCCTGAGGGTCGCTGTCCGGACGGGCCGCAAAATTCGGGAGTCGAGAAAATAGACAGGGACTCATTGCGGAGCAGAACAAGCCGCCCCAAATGTCCAATAAAATTAGACAACCCACGAGACAGGCGTTCTCTATTTGTTCTTTCGCAGTCCAAGTTCTAGGCGCTCGGGTGACTCGAAGCGTCATCTCGGTATACTGCATCTGTTGATCCATTCTGCTGGTGCAGAAAGAGCCCAAGAACGTTGATTACAAGAAAGAAAAGCGAGTATCCTGTCTGATTATACAGGTGTCGGCGGTCCTTTCAAGTTGAGTGAGTGATGAGGATGGGGCGTAAAATGAAGATTGTTCGACAGCGCAGATCGACAAAAAAGAAAGGTAGCAATGGAAGCGACAGATGAGGAGATAAGTATCTTTGAGCCGCCTAATCATAGCGAGCCGTTCTGGAGGATAGCGAACTGCGCAAAGGTGCCTGGCGAGTCGATGACAAAGGTGATGGTGAGTAAAAGGGATCAGAGTGCTTCGGGGTCCCTGACACGCGTCGCATCGCGTTGCCCTTTTCTCCTCCAACCACACGACGTGTACCCTCGGCCTGCAAGCAAGAATTACATACGGCAACTCATTTCAAGTCATAGGCTATGGAATGTCGGGAGAAACGCGTAAAACCAAGGAGATGTTGCATAACGGTGAGTGATTCGGGATGCGGGTGATAAGAATGAGGAACTTACAACACCATTGTGCCAGCGCCCGCCCAGAAGAGCGTGAAGGTGTGAAATACCGCGGACGCAACGTTCGTGAACGTAGATGAAGCCCTCCGGGTCACAAAACCCTAAGCCTCTTTCCAGTTTGCCATCGCATGATTTCATTTCGGAGAGGCGGAATGTTGCTTGAGCCGGGATATCGGGCGTTCACCTTCGAGACTCGGTCTCCAGATGGTATCAGTGGAGATTGAGCTCTCCGATTGCCCTAGTCGTACGCCAAAATGCGACTTTTCTGGCAGACGGTGGCTTGGAATGGTGGTATCGATGAGTTCAGCCCTCCATGAGCGGCAGACCTCTGACACTGCCATGAACAAATGCAGACTAGAGTCACTAGACCCCAACATTCCGGCTCCCCAGCATTTTATCTGCATCTCCACCTCTCAAATTCTCAGGCCAACGCTTGCCCAAGCCCATTCCTTCCACATATGTGATAAAGAAGCAGACACGGGAGAAGGGAGCACGAGCATCTCGCCCCACCCGACGTGGAACGGGCAGTTATATCTGGTTAGCAGATGCGACCCGTCGATTGGCCGATTCTGGTTTCTCCAATCGCCGGCGGAACAATCCATCAAACCTGAAGGGTTTACTCGCATACTACGGGACGCTGCTTATTGTCTATAAAAGTGTGGCGTGGCCTTGTCTCTTTGGTTCTCTAGTGACCACCCACACAGCTGCAACAGAGAAGCGTCGACGTCCCTTGCCCTTCCTTGACACCAACTCTCTGTCTCTTACTCCAGACCATGGCTTCGCCTTCCTACTCATCGTCCGGTGGCGATACTCTGCTGAGCCCAGAGCCTATCTCCCTCGGGCCGGCTGCATCCCCTCTCCACCCATCAACCATCTTCGACGTTGAAGGCCTTGTTGTTGTCATTACAGGTGGCGGTACTGGTATGTCTCAGGATCTCACATTCTACCTACTTCGGTTGCGCCCGGCTAACAGTCTATATTTATTAGGTATCGGCCTTATGATGGCCACTGCGTTGGAGACCAATGGTGCGACGGTGTACATCGTCGGACGTCGGATGGATGTGCTAGAGAAAGCAGCGAAGGAGAACAGTGTAAGCACCTGCCTGCCCTCTGCTCTGACTATCCGGAACTTCTTTGAGATTACTCCTCTTCCCGTCCGGGCTTTCTCCTTCGTTCTTATATCCAAAACACTAACTTCTAGCTTTCTCTTCGCAGAAATATGATAAGATTATTCCGGTAGAAGGCGATATAACGAAACGAGAAAGTCTACTGTCGATTGTCGAGGTTGTGAGAGCTCGACATGGGTACATTGACCTGCTAATCAACAACGCAGGGATTGCGCGAAATCTCTACTCGCATCCCCTACCTTCTCCGACGGATCCATCAGACCCCTCCCATCTGCCTTCACCACCTGGCTCTCCATTTCCACAGGCAGCTGGGCCACCAACACCGTCGATTAAGGCGTTCCAAAATGCGCTCTGGGACACCGGGTCTCCAGAGGACTTCGCGGATACCTTTGCCACTAATGTCTCGGCTGTCTATTACACCACAATCGCGTTCCTCGACCTCCTCCACCAGGGAAATATTCGGCGACAGCGGTTGGACTTCCCAACAACCTCCGCCGGCCTCGGACTGCTGCCCCACTACACCTCCCATGTTTTATCTGTCTCCTCATCCGGATCGTTCCGACTGGATTCGAAGGTGCTCTCGCCTTCGTATACGTTATCGAAGAGCGCCTGTACGCACTTGGGCAAAATGATGGCGAACCTGCTCGCGCCGTGGGGCATCAGGAGCAATGTCCTGGCACCTGGGGTATGGCCAAGCGGTATGTTGTGATGATTAGTATGTCAATCTTGCATTTTTGGTGTTCTAACGGGTTTTTTTCCTCGTTCGGGTTTAAATCTACAGAAATGACGACATTGCCCGTTACTGCGACATCCAAGTTGAACCCTCAGGCCTTGGCAGATACGGTGCCACTGAAAAGAGTGGGCACGCAGGAGGTGCGCACGTCGGTTTCAGTTCTTTGCGGCGGACAGGCTCGCTAACGACGTGGGGTCGCAGGATATGGCTGGAACGATCCTTTTCCTCGCAAGCCGCGCTGGTGCCTACGTCAACGGCGCGGTGTGGCTGGTCGACGGCGGTCGCGTCGGCACTGTGGCTAGCACGTACTGACCGGTCTGAGCGGTATACTTTCGGCCCCTCACGCAGTCGCCTCGTCGTGATTCTGTCTCTACAGTAAATTATTCCCTCGGCCCTCGTGGTTAATGTAACTGTAAAATTGTACCTATGTCTTTTCTACTTGAAATTTGGCGATGGCACTGCTTTGTATGTGGGCTATACGTAAGAGTAACCTCCGAGGAGCCTGACTAGAAATGCTCCCGAGAGCTAATCGGCCCCATCTCTTGCAGTGGATAGGCTCTCGAGACGAACGAGTTCAAATCCACGACCGCTCTCCCAAAATTTCAAGTCGGAGGCCTTGCAGCCCCGTGCAAGGCTGAACAATGAAATTGCGATAAGATTGCGTCAGGCTAATGTAATGCCCCTGGTGCGTTACTCATTCATCGCGCTCCGTATGGCGCCTCGCGCGTACCTTCGGAGACTGCAGGGGATCGGTAATGTGTTTGACGAGCACGCCGGGGTCTGAGCAGTTGCACGTGCCACCATTGATCAGCCTGTCAGTGTGACCTGCGGCGATCCATAAATCGATCCGATTCCACCTTGCCCAGCAGTAACTTATCTTTCTTCACGATCCTGTCTCGCACCTTCTTCACCCGCGCTCTTCGAAGCAGCTGGGCAACTCTCCCCGTCGTCTCTACAGCGCCTTTGCACCTCAAGAAATCGTCTACAATGGCGCCAACGAACCCACCAAGAGTCGAACGGAGTTCCAAGATGCACTCAAAAGTCGTGCGTACCACTTTCTTGGGCGGAATGAATTTGTCTAATGCTCTCGGACTCTCTTTCAAGGTCATCATTGGCTCAGGCCCCGCTGGACACACCGCCGCGATCTACCTGGCGCGTGCGAACCTCAACCCGGTTCTTTTCGAGGGATTCATGGCGAACGGCTTTGCTGCTGGTGGCCAGCTGACCACAACGACCGACGGTAAGCTCTCACGACGACGTTAATCGATGTTCTGCGATACGATCATGGCGACTGTAGTGGAGAACTTCCCAGGTTTCCCCACCGGTATCCTGGGTCCTGAGCTCATGGAGAAATTCCGTGAACAGTCTGTCAGATTCGGCACGCGCATTATCACGGAGACCGTCTCGAAGATCGATCTCTCAGCACGGCCATTCAGGTACTGGCGCGAGATGCAGGAGGACTCCGAACCCGAGACGGCAGACACTATTATCATCGCTACCGGCGCAAGCGCAAAGCGGATGGGTCTCAAGGGAGAGCAAACATACTGGCAGAGTGGTATTAGTGCTTGCGCAGTTTGTGATGGCGCCGTTCCTATTTTTAGGTGTGTTATGATAGGTCACTCTCGTTGGTTTCGTGCTGACGAGATTTGGCAGAAACAAGCCCCTAGCAGTCATTGGAGGAGGCGACTCTGCAGCTGAAGAAGCTACATGTAGGCCGCGTTCTCTCTTCTTTTTTCTCATGTCAGCTCATACTTTTGATGAAGACCTAACGAAATACGGTTCTCACGTATATGTCCTTGTCCGCCGTGGCGAGCTCAGAGCATCGAAAATCATGGCTAAGCGGCTGCAAAACAACCCAAAAATTGTGCGTCTCATAGTCTTCCGTGTATTCTCTTACCTTCCTGAGCACGACCTTTAGACCATTCTCTGGAACACCGTCGCTACTGAATGCCAAGGCGATGGGGACCTTCTGAACAACCTCCGCATTAAGAACGTCTTGACCGGAGAGGAAAAAGATCTCCAAGTTAACGGGCTGTTCTACGCTATTGGTGCGTCGGCTTTCCCATAGTCTATCCCTTTCCACCTAACCGGACCTTCTCTTTGTACAATGGACAGGCCATGAGCCCGCAACTGCTCTTGTTCGCTCCCAGCTGCAGACTGATCCTGATGGCTACATCATCACTGTGCCAGGAACGACGCAGACCTCCGTGAAAGGTGTCTTTGCAGCAGGTGACGTCCAGGATAAGCGCTATCGGCAGGCTATCACGAGTGCGGGGAGCGGCTGCATGGCTGCGCTGGAGGTTGAGAAGCTGATTGCGGAAGAGGAGGAGCTTGGAGAGTAAATGCAACTCCTCGAGTTCAGTCACCATTCTAGAGTCGGTCGCCAACAGGAACTTCTTTTTTTTCGTTAGACCTTCATTTCACTTCATTTTGCATACTGATACCGTTTCTGTTGGCAATTACGTTGTAGCACTGCTGCACGCAAATACCACCTAATGTCGGAGTTGGAGCTGGGTCCCAAAGAACGTAGAATCGCTTGTCATTTCGAAAGCTATCTCAGAGAGCATTGAAAGTGGTGGAAAAACTGTCGTACAACGGTCGCACCTCACCAATGCGGTCCTCTACATGATTATAACAGACAGATCATCCCAAGCCCTCCAGTACCGCTCCAGTCGGCTGTACCTGGGTCTCACAAGCAAACCACTTAAAGAGCAATTGAGCATGAGGTGAGAACTTCCTCGCTTGCCCACTACTCCTTTTTCGTCCATCTCCTTCTCCTCCCATAGGTGGATCAAACTCGACAGGCACATGAAGCGGCCGATGTTGCACGAAAGCCGATGGAATCGTCCCCTAACCACCTTCTCGATTCCCTTAACTGCCAGACTATGCCATCTAGCTGGCCGTTGATCACGGTGGCGCATCCAAATGGACAGTGTAGATGGAAACAAGATGGAAAGGAATTCTAGGTGGATGATGCGAGGAGATAAGCAGTTGGACGCCGGGGAGTGCGGGGAAATGAGAATCCATCGACAGCCAACGGCACTGCTATTCAGTAGGACGATGGCTTATCGTCATCTCTAGCGCCTTGTGGCACTTGTGGCTAGGGTATTGTGGGGGTGGTCCAAATATAGAATGCGAAGTGTCGCTGGTACGCCTTGGCCGCGAAGAATTCCAAGGATTCCTAGGGATTATATCTCCCATTAAATAAGGGTGTAGGATATTAATTAAAAGATTCGGGGAGAACAGGTGATTGGGATTGAAAGCCCGTTCTGAATTTGTGGAAAGCGTCTTCGGGGTCTTGCATGGCCGAAGGCCGTATTGGGCCACAATATCCTTTTGCGGATTGGAGCGACGCGTCAAGGTCCAAATCAATGCACTCAACTGAACATACTTGAATGCGTACAAGATTACATGAAAATCTCATATGGCAAAGGAAACATCTGTCCCAGGTGCTCTGAGAGCGTCAATCTTCCTGCAATGGCAGTGGGAGCGGAGGAGGTTGGATCTCTCTCCTCGACATGCTTTCCCAATCTCTGACGGCACGTCATCAGCTGATCTTGAAATAGAGGCTCTAGAGAATTTCCCTTACATTCCGTTGAACAAAGGGCTCCTTTTTATATCCACGACCCTCTGTGGCCGTTTGTTGGGTATCGGATGGAGCAACTGAAATGGGGATGGAGAATATTCTGACGAAGCTCTCAGAAAAAGCCGACATACCTCGTCTAGCGCCCTATTCTCCCAGGGTTTGATAAATCTCACTTGACCAGGCTTCGGCGTATAGTCCAGCACAGGTCTTTTATTTTCGGGGTATGCTTTGCAGTGTTTGAAGGGTATCTAGAGTAAGGGCCTGTGAATCCATACGCCCAGCGGAAGGAACAGCTGTCACTCACATGTCCAGTAGTAAGCTCGTGGTATATCACACCCACCGACCAGTAATCCACCCCAAACGAATAACGCTCATTTCTGAACACCTCGGGCGCGGTGTACCAATATGTGCCCGCCGCTCCACGCGTGCCGAGCGGGTTGTGTCCGTCAACCCAGAGCATAGGGAACTCGTCGCCTCCCTTCGCCCTTGCCTCGAGCCAGACTGGAAATCTGTGCATATCCACTACTGCTGGGCCATCTTGAAGGTCGGATGTGCCTAGGTTTTCAGCCAGGCCGAGGTCGGCGAGGAGCAAGTGCCCAGCGTCGTCGAGGAGAATGTTGTCTGGTTTGATGTCGCGGTGGACGATGCCTTGTTTGTGGAGAGCCTCGATCGCGAGTACCTGGGGTTGATGGTGGGTAAAAGAACTGAAAGGCGAGAGAATGGGGAAGGCTTACGAGTTGGGCAGCATAGAATTGAGCGAGCGAACGTCCGAGGTATCCTCTGTGCTCAAGGAGACCCGCCAAATCTCCACGTTGATAAAACGGCTGCAAGATAATCAGTTCTGCGAGCGTTTTCTAGAGACGAAAATGCAACGGACCATCGAGATAACAAATTCCTCGTCGTCCATGAAATGAGTTAACAACGGCGGGAACCACTGGTTCCCAGTCATCGCCTTAAGACAGTCCACCTCGGTCTCTGCCAGGTATCTCGCCAGCCCTGACTCGTCGAACGTGATACGCTTCATAACCACCCGCGCTTGAGTCGAACCTCGACGTGAGACGCGCGAAATAACGGCGAAAGCGCCATTTCCGATGTGGGTTATTTGGTATCCGTCTTGGTCGAGAATAACACGACGGGAGGGTGGGAGGCATCGAGGTCCAGTGCAACGGAGGAAGGTGAAGAGGGACCGGGCTCTTTGTGAAAATTTCCAGTGTTCCAGGAAACGAGGTAGCTTGGTTCTTCTGAAGCGGTAGTGGAAAAGGTTCAGACCGGAAAAGGCGAAAGCGAAGAGGAATTTTGAGAGTGGGTGGTGGAGGCGAGGACGCTTTGTGGCCTGGTTGTGAGCGAGTTGGTGTGATTGGGCTCGGCGCTTGAGAATGCTAAAGGATGTCGTCCAGGAAGTGTAGCCAACCAGCACTCTTTTCCCTATGTTATCGATAGCATAGAGAGTCACCCGCAAGAAGATATCGCCAGCTTCACTGCAAGTCAAGTCGGATGAGACGTGGATTCTGATTCGAACTTCGGAGACGACAGGCACTGGGAGGCTCTCTGAGAAACGTGATGGACCAGTAAGCGTACCGTTCTCAGCAGCAACGCCAGGGATTGAGAGGGAAAGCTCTGACGAAATCCTCTGCACGAGGTGCTTGGGGGAACAGTCCGGCTTCAGAGTCGTGGAGGTAAATTTTGACGGTGATGGCGAACGAGAGACGCGACATCTCGGGAAGGATAAACCGACGGCTAGTCTGTGGTCAACTACCATTTTCTGTCCTCGATTCGACGCTTCTGGGAATTGGATAAACAGGGATGGCCGTGGCGATCTCGAAAGAGGCAGGAGGGTTTAAAAGGCTGCCTCCCGTTGCAGACCGTCAGACGTATTGAATTCACGACGAGAGACACGCCAAAAAGGAGGACAGCGGTTGAAACCAAAACTTCTTGGTTCGTCGTCGCGTTTCCATTATGTGTGGCGCACTTTCAATCCTAATTTAGTGATGATGGGGAGTGCAGTGTAGAGGAAGTTGGATTTGAATCATGCTTTCGAAAGGCCTGGAAGTGTAGAGATTCAAGCTTCATTCTTCACCCGACGGTCGACATTTAGACGAGGACGGAACGGTCAGCTGATCGGTGAAACACAAATACGCAAGGAGAAAAGCCGATTTCAGGAGAACAGTGTGTACTTAGGCGTTTACAGTGACACCCTGATGAAAGACATGTCTGGTGGCTGGGACGGCCCCGGCGAGTTCAGTAGGACTCTCGAACAAAGCCTCGACTTGTTTTTGTACCAAGAAGAGGGTCGAGAAAGGAAAGAAGCTGCGGTTGATCCCGGAACGGAGGGCAAGTGATCGCTCACGTAAGCTGAATCTCACGGAACATCCCCACCCTGTGCTGTCAACCAAGAATCACCTCAGCCTTTTTTCTCCAAGCAACAACACAGGAACTCCCGTTCACCGTCTTCAACAGCGAGCAGCTGGTCATTCTACCGGCAGAAGTGCCCCCAACAACCCACCGCATAGGAGAACCAATGGTTCAGTCATACTACACGCCTGCGCGTGTTGCCTCTCCTGTGAAGGAGTCTTTCCACGAATCAGCATTTGCGGCTTTGAATGGAGACAAGCAGCACAAGGTTGAAGACGTACAGGAGGCCTACATCGAACATAAGGACCGGTGAGTTACCACTTTATCTTGCGGCTGGTGGGCTGGGACTGAACGGCGTGCAGCCTGGTATCCGCCATCGGCTCCACGAAGTTGGTATTAAGCGACATTCGCGCATTCAACAAGGATGAATGGCTCGTCCGTTATCCCCAGCTTCGCGAGAAGGTCGAGGAACCTAGCGACACCGCTGAGGGCCCGTCGCGTCCCGGCAAGTCTGCACGCCGCTCACTTTCTTTCGTGGACGACCCTTCCTTCGAAACCGAAGTGGTTGTTGGTGGGTCCAAACCTGGACTCGCCCGGTCCATCACCCTCGCGTCAATCCCCGATGTCAATGAAGCAGAAGGCAACTCCACGAAGAAACTCAAGGACGACGAGCGCCTCATCCCCGACTCTGAGTTCAACGTCCTCAGACTTGACCTCAAACTCGGGTCCCATTCGTCAGCAAATGCGGCGGCACTCGTCTCCCAGCTCGAAAAAGCGTCTATCGCCAACCTTCTCGACGACAGGATTGGCACATCGATCAACCATATGGATAAGCTCCGCATGCGGGTGGAAGACACATCATCCAAGGTCCTCGTCACCGGCGACCTTAATGCCGGCAAATCGACTTTCGTCAACGCCCTCCTCCGTCGGGAGGTCATGCCTGTTGATCAACAACCCTGCACGACCGCCTTCTGTGAGGTCCACGACGCTGCCGAGAATGGCGGCCAGGAGGAGGTGCACGTCGTCCAGGACGGTGCTACTTACGATATCAATGATGAGTCAACCTTCACCAAAGCCGAGATCTCGGAGCTCGAGGACATCGTCGCCGAGAATGAGGACACCCAGCGGATGATCAAGCTCTATCTCGCCGATACCCGTGCACCTTCGGAATCGCTGCTCAATAACGGAGTCGTCGATATCTCGCTCATTGATGCACCCGGACTTAACCGGGACAATGCGAAGACCACGGCAGTATTCGCACGGCAAGAAGAAATTGACGTTGTCGTCTTCGTCGTCTCCGCAGAGAACCACTTCACACTTTCCGCCCGGGAGTTCCTCTCGACAGCCAGCAGGGAGAAGGCCTACCTCTTCATCGTCGTCAACAAGTACGAACAGATCAAGAATAAGGAAAAGTGCCGACGCGTCGTCCTTGATCAAATCAAGGAACTCAGCCCAAGGACATACGAAGACGCTGCAGATCTCGTTCACTTCGTGGATTCTGCGTCTGCTCTTCAACCATACAGTGCCAGCCCGTCTTTCGACGACCTGGAACAATCATTGCGATCGTTCGTCCTCGTCAAGCGCTCCAAGTCCAAGCTGCAACCCGTTTCCACCTATCTCTCCAACCTTCTAGCCGACATCGAGCTCCTGGCTGGTGCCAACGCTATCGTCGCTGACTCTGAGCTCCAGCAAGCGAGGGATGAACTCGACCTGGCACGCCCTGCTCTCGAGAAGATGAAGCGGAGTCGCGATGTGCTCGAGGAGGCTCTTGAAAACGTCGAAGAATCCGGGGCAGGAGAAGCTTCCTCACGAACGAAGAAGACCCTCAACAATGCTCTCGAGCTAGTCGGCCAAGGCCATCTTGGTGTCGAGAAGCCTCTTGTCAGCATGCCCTCCTATCCTGGCCTCTTGGGCATCTGGGACTACGCCCGAGAAGTCCGCAGGGCGTTGCTTGCGAGCTTGGATGCTGCTGTTGCTTTGGCAGAGGATGAGGCTCGCCTCATCACTGTTAATGGGGTGCAGAAGGTCAAGGATCTCGGCGAGACACATCTTCCGGCGGGTGTCGAGCGTTGCCGAAGGGTATTCATGCCTGAGGCAATGTTTAGTACCATGAGGAGGACCGGCAAGGGCATGAAGAGGCGTTCCTCGTCGTCCTACACCAACATCGGTGGCGCCATCGTAGCTGGTGGTCTGCACGGTCTCGGTATTGGTCTCGCTCAACGGCATGACATGCTCGAGACGACTTTCTTCGACCTCTTCGACGTCAACCACCAATTCTTCGTGCACTTCACCGATGGCAAGCAATCAGAGGATGAGTCATCGACGCCCACCGCCCTCGGTCTCGTCAGTGTCGGAATTGGTGCACTCACGATGGTCGGTGGACAGGCCATCGGGATTCGCGGCGTCCTCGAAGGTGTCGTCCGCGTCACGGACCTCGTCGGCAATGAAACGGCCCGCAAGTGGGCGGCCCCCGTTATTGGTGCTCTTACCATCGGCTTGTCAGCGTACCTCATCCTCGAGCTGCCCAGCTCTATTCCCCGCACGGTTGGAAGGAGAGTCAAGGCCTCCGTCCTGGCGCGGGCTGATGAACGTGATGTGCATTTCGTTGACGCACACGCTGGGCGAATCAGTCGCGAGACGAGGAAGGTGCTCAGGCTGGCGTCTTGGGATCTCAAGGAGAGGTTCCGCGGTGCTATGGAGGAGAGGTCGAGGGAGGTTAAGGGTGCAGAGGAGATGGAGAAGAAGGCACTGAGAGCTAAGGAGTGGTTCACAGGCGTTGGCGAAAAGACCGCGACCATCCGGCAGGACGCCAAACTGGAGACCATCGGTGTCTAAGGGGTCAATCCCTTTGTGCCTATGCCATTCACCATCTTCCAGCCTGCTCCATGCAAGAAAAAGAAAGTGGACACCCCAAATCTTCGTTGTTCCATGTTTCTATACTTTTGTTTATTCGAAAGTGCTTCTCTCCAGTATATAGCCCATGATTCTGCCTTTACCCCCTTTTTACCGACGCCGGATAGATGCGTCGCTCCTCGTCCTCCATTCGATGACCTGTACACGCTCATTATTGCATACTTTATCCCTCCTCTCTAGACACCTTGACACCTTAGTAGGTACGTACCCCGAAGTTGATGATACTCAATCGCCACTTTTGATGACTTAAATTTTGTTTACTTTTCATGCCTCTAGCCATATGATACATAAAGGGTCTGAATGAATGTAACTCGTCCACAATGTAAATTCAACCTGGGTTGTGACGAGGTTTGCAATAGTTGCCAAGCTTGGGCGTAAATACCTTTGTGCATTTGGAATTTGGCACCATGGCTGAGTCAGGTATCCTGTTGGGGGCTAGTACCAAAGGCTCTGGCCAGGAAGAGAAGTAATACCTACCGTCCGGCGTCGGTGGCACCATTGGCGATGCAAACCAGATCAGGAGAACTGGTTTGAGTATAATTCTTCACTCAGATTGAAGTCGATCGATCTAATAAATCCATCCACCATGTTCGTCCTGCGAATGCGAGGGTGATGAACACCAGATTTATGTAGCTAGCCAACAATGAATTCAAAATGCCGCCTGGAAAGAGGAAAGACCCAATGTCTGACACAGGCATTCAGAAGCGCCAGGAGTCACCAATCAGACTTCGACAAGGGCCCTTCCAGACGCACCCCCTCGTAGTTGAGCAACAGTCCACGAAAGCTCAACATTGTGAGCTCGCCAAGAAAGTACGGGACAGAGCGAGGGGAGATGCCCTGGAGACGCCCTGGAGCTTTTGATATAACTTTCGCTCTGTATCATGGCTCTCAGGGTCAAAGGAAACTTTAAGAACAAGGTGCGCCGTCCTGCTGACTAAAGACTGGATGAATCGTTTGCAAGAACAACAAACGGAAAGACAATCGAAAGAAAATGACAAGAGCCCTGTGAGGTGTACATTTAGGAGGGGCAGATGGTCAATTGAGTGTTACTTACCTCTTCATTGTCCATCGCCGCCAGCCCCCCATTCACCAGGGGTCATTACCATCACGCATCCTGCAAACCACAACCAAATCCAAGAATATCCAAGTGCCCACTTCCAAAATCTAGCAGACCAGTTAAGCCGCAGGACCTCGACCTGCCTGCCGCACAATCTCCAGAGCGAACCCAAGTCTCGGGGCAACCGAGGCTACCAGACACCTCTATGTTTTCGCCATCGACCAGGATGAGGTGATGAATGCCAGCGAACGTGGAGAGGACAGATCCAAACAGCAGCTCAAGAGTTTCCCTGAAGAAAATCATAGCTTCGGTAATAATGTACGCTACAGTCTTCACTCGTCGTCCGTATCGTCGTCCTCATCACCTGTTCCCTTTCCTAAAACTTGTCTAAGTTTTCTCTTAACTTCACCCTCGTGAAGGTCCGACTCTTCATCAGCTTTGAGGTCCCAAGCCAGGAAGCGACGACACACAGCTTCCGCATTTTCCAGATCTTTACGTTCTATGTCGGACATTTCTTCATCGAGGAGACGCCCGAGTTCATGAGTAGACAACAAGTGGCTATAAACAAGGGGAGTCAACCCTTGACTGAAAAACAGAGGACAATGCAATGTTTACCTGACATATTGTGCTCTCTCAACGATCCTCAATGGTATACCGAATATTTCCGCGCATTTCGCCGCATGTGAATCCAGAGAGAGACCTTCGGCAACTCTTGGATCAGGGCTGTCAGAGTCACAATCCTGAGGTCAAGGACGAAGTCGTTCAGCAAACCTGTATAGATAAGTTATCTTCTCAGCCGGCCCTATTTTCCTCGTTGCTATATCGTCTTCGACAGTACTGGCTGAAGGCGAAGTGCAGCCAGTAGCAGAAGAAGGGTCAAAAGAACTGGACTCCACAACCGCACCGGTTCTCGACGTGAACATGACCTGCATATGGCGGAAGGAGACGGGTATGCACTCTGGGTCGAGAAGTTCCTCATTGAAAACATCGTGGAAGTGAGTAGCGACAAGGACTTTGGGGCAATTAGAACCGCGGTTGAGGAGGTGCTGAAGGACTCCACAGAACAATCCTGCACCGTCTGTGCTGACGAAATGAAGTATCAGCATGTTGAATAGTGGAAGCCAAATTCCATCAAAGACGAGACGTCGCCAGTTGGAGCACGTGCTGCAAAGCGAATCCAGTCACACCAAGGGGGCGGAAGGAGCTGGAAAGAACATGCAGTAAAGAAGAAAGAAAGACACAAGCCTGTTGAGAGCGTCCCTTTCCCGAATTCATCAAGAAGTACCAAGGATCGAGCAGTGCAATTACGAAGAGCAAGCGAAACCTGAGCCAGGTCGATCATGAATGCTGACTGAACCTAGAAACGAGGCCGACGGAGCAAGGATCAGCTTGACTGAGAAGCAGCAGTTGGCGTCCAGAGGCGTCCGACGACATGAACCCGAGGTGATCGTGAAAAGGAGTAATTACTTTGGAAACCGATTCTCGAGTGGATACGCGGGTGAAGACTGTTGAACTTATCAGCGCAAGAATGGCGCCATTGATGATCGAGGACAACTCTTGTCGACAACACCTAACGTAGCGGATTCGGCAGGAACGAAGCTACAAATACAATAAATAAGTAATTATAAGGAGGCGCTTATATGAACAGCCAGGAACGCTCACCAGCCGATCTAGGATCTCATTAATCTCAAGCAGTTGAGCTGTAGAAGCACGCACCTGAGCCATTATCTGGATGAGAGCTATCTAATTTGAGCAGAGTTAGCCCAACAAAGCCCATGCATAAGGGGTTGTCCATACCTGTTTCAAATACACGCTCTACTCACAGAGGCAGATAAGCAGAACACACAAACAATAGACGAGGGCTCTACCTTTCCGCATGCATTAGCTCCTGTACAAAGCAGAACACTGTTCCATTGGTGGTCGTCATCAGGTGGATCGAGATTAGAATCGATTCCTGCTCCGCCGAGAATGCGAGCATCATTGGGCACGAACGTGTCAACAACTTGCTCGTGCAAGGGGTGT